ACAAACTAAATGTATAAACTGCAGAATGGATCAAGAAAACGGCATGAAAATAAAAGAGGGTGCAATAATTCCGTAAAAAACTCCGCTTTGCTTTCGTTATAGTTATCCTTTTCTTGGCCACGATACAAATGCGAAACAATGAAATCACCTGCTGCTGCGGTCGACTTGGGTGTCTCACGCATTAGGGGACTGGTAAGCGTCACGCTGACGGTAACCGTACCACCTGAGACAGTCAAAGCCGCGGATTCCGGATGTTTCCCGACATTATATGTTTCCTCAGGTGCCACATTCTTCAGTTCACCAGGTAGAATTTCAGCAACCTTATTGAGCAATGTCCTATAACATTTAATTGAAACAATTAAAATTTGCATATATTATATTATAATACACGACAAAAAAATATACATAAAATCATTTTAAATACCTTGTTGGTTTTTCAGCGCATAAAACAACGAGGCAAACATGATTATCTCCGGATAGCAATAGTCCTTTAGCCAAATTTCCGACGCGCATAACGCCGCGAAGTATCCTAGAATCCTCCTTTTCTTTTTGAAATGAAAAGAGATTTCCGTCGCTGCCATCTTCTTTCTGCGGTGTGACTGCCTTCTTTTTGTCAGTCTCATCTTTCTTCGTGTCCGCGTTTGCCTGTGATGTACCGGTCACCGTTGGTGCTGCTACAGCAGCATTAGCATTTGCAGGAATATTCTTTTTGCCTACAAACAATAATTCGCGCATGTAAGCCTTAGTAGTTGAAATTTCATAAACCGAATCCGCGGAAAAATATTTAAATTATACTCACCAGCCTCAGCCAAAGCATCTGACACAAACTTCAACGCTTTCTCAGTGTGAGAAACAATTTTCTGGACTGCCAGCAATTCTTGTTCCTTGGGATAAATAGTCGTATGATGTGCCAATACATGCTTGTCGTCCGACGAATCTGGTCGTCTCTGTGGACCCGGGAACATCATCATAGGCGGTGGTCCTGGGAATGGTCGTGGCATCGGGGGTGCACCTGGACCGCGTCCATATCGTCGATACCATTCATAATATTCGCATTCTTCCTCGTAACGACGTCTCTCCTCCCAATACATCATCTCTTCGTCCATTATGGGTCCCATAGGTCCCAATTGATTGATCTCTTCCCTGCGACGTAAATACTCGTCGCGCATTTGTTGCCTACGTAACTTCTCTTCGAGCATCTTGCGTTGCTTGAGGCTGGGTTTCATATCAACGACCAAATCGGGATTGACCTTCTTCTTGTAGGCGAATCTATGTCGGCGGCCCTTCATGTGCATGTCTTTGGCATTGGGATCGTTGAAACGACACTCGCATAATTTACAATTAAAACTTATAATTTTTCCGTCCTCGGATTTGTTCTCTTCGATGTATTCCTGACCGACCGGTTGAATGTCCTTTTCATCGACTGCAGCTTCTTCCACGGTTTCTTCAGCGGCTGGCTCTTCCTGCTTTACTTCGACCGTTTGGTTCTGATTCACCGTACCCAAATTCCCAGCTGAAACAAAAGTATATGTATACATATAAATGTTTGCAAAAATATACAATAAAATCTTGATAATTTCTTGCAATTGCAAAAAAAAATGCAGATAAAATTTACTTACAAGCAACGAAATTGATCTTGGGAGTTGCTGTTATTGTCGGTTTCTTCGTCGTAGTAGTTTTAGCAGCTGCCGCTGGTTTCGGATTCAAGACGGTGGGATCTGCACTTGGGATAGGCTTTCCGAGCTTGGTATGCAGCTTCACTACCTTTTGATGCTTAGCACCTCGGATGTGAGCGGCGTAGGCGTCATTTCCGGTACAAGTTACATCACAGAGTTCACAACGTAGACTGTTGCCTGCTCCACGTGCGGGAGGCTGTTGCGGCACCTTCAACGAAGCCTCCTTCTTCTTGTGCTTCTGACCCTCGAGATGCTCACGATAGGTTTGCGGTCCGGCACAGCTGATCTTACAGACATCGCAATAGTGTAGCTGCTGTGGCTTAGGAGGCTGCTTGGGTCGCATTGCTTTCATCCCTCCCCCGCCAGCTCCGAATCCCTTCCGTCCGTAGCCCTGCCAACCTCCAGTCTTCTGGTTAGTGGAATTGCTGTTTGCACTCTGTTGGGCTACATACATAGTCGCAGCGCTATATAGCGCTGCGTCGTAGCCGGAATACGTTGTACTCGCCGTTTCTAAGGGAAATGAAATTGAAACCTCAAACTTTGGAGGGGTCCATCAAATTTTTTGTACTTTTGCACGGCACAAAATTTTTGCTATTATCCATTTCGAGATGCATTAAAACACGAATTATAAAATTTTTGCGACGAGAGACATCGAGAGACTGATATACTTGAAAGTTTATTCCACAGTTTAGGAGTGGATAAAGAAATTTCAGACTTCTGCTAAATTCTCGAGTTGTTATCACGCTCGAAAATGTTAGCAGAGTTTTTGTGAATTTTTGTCCTTTTGACATCTTTTCACGTATCGTGAGAGGATCAATTTCATGTTATTAGTTCCTACGTCACAGTTAGTGATCAAAACAGGACCGGAGATTTTTGGAGATAAAACGTACAAGGGAGAAAAGATTAACAAACAACTTACTATTTGTCGCAGTTGATGGCGTAGCGGCAGGTGTAGCTGGAGCTGTATATCCTGAAGAATAAGTAGCGCTCTGTGTAGGATTCGACTGCTGGTAAGCTGTACTAGATGCTTGATAAGTTTTAGCCTGCCCAGTGGTAGTGGCTTGTCTGGCAGTGCCAGTGTAAGCACTAGTCGTGCTATAAGCAGGTTTGGCAGCCTGATAATGTGTTTCGGTAGTAGTATAAGTTGCTGCGGCAGCAGCTGGCTGTTGATAGTAGGTTTTGGTTGCGTCGTATGTGGCTGCTGGCGCAGCTCGTCCGTAACCGTAATCGTAAGTTTGAGCCACAGTACCAGGATTGGCAGCTGCAAGAAAAAATGTATTGCAATTATCATATTTCAAAATAATTGCATTACATGTGTACAAAATTAAATTATATTTATTCAAATAATAAAGAAAAGTTCTACTTATTTTGTAGCATATTTTACTCAAATATGTGAAACTACCATCGAGTCATATTTCTCAGTTTCTATTTTTTATTCTTTTTCTCTCACAGATTATAAAACTATATTATAAAAATCTAATATATATACAATAAAGACATAAGACTTTTCATTAACTTATTTTACATTCTCTCTTTATGGCATTATATAAAAAAATTTATTTTACATTAATAACTTAAAATTTTTTTATTTTTGTCAGAAATTTTTAATCAAAGATTTGATATATATTTGTTATTATTTGAGAAAAAATTAAAAAGTAAACATTTTATAACTTATTTTCCGAAGTCTCAGAAATATTTTTCCTATCTCTTTCTTTGTTACAAGTCTATCTCCCTAAGGAGATTAGCAGTCTCTCTTGATTGAAACCGATTCAATCTATATGTTCGATAAATACAATAATTATGGAGCAAACATGTGATTGGCATATGCAATTAATATATAGTGTATAATGTATGTATTTCTAGATTTAACACAAATTTCTCTTCTAAACATCTCGTTATTGTATTCGCCGAACGTGATGCACGAGGCTCGTGTAAAGGCTTGAATAATGGAACATTACCTGCGTACGTCGTCCCAGTCGCGGCCGCAGCAGCAGCTGCCTGGTAGGTTTCGTAGCCAGTCGCAGCGGCGGCAGCGGGTCGTTGAGTATAAGTAGCGGCCGTTGCCGCCGGGGTTACCGCGTATCCCGCTTGCCCGGTCTGATACGCGGCAGCGCTGGTAGCCCTGTTTGAAATAACAGTAGATACATAAATAGATATATTATTCCGCAGGACACGCGAGGCCCGTCGAGCGTTCGCACGAGGAGTGCCATGCGAATTCGAGAAAGCTCGAAAATGCTCGACTCGACCGTGCTCGGGAACGCTCGACGGACGCTATCCTCTCGCGACAAAAGAAATGGCCGCCAAGCCGGCTGGGTCGCTGGACGACGTGTCGACGTTCAACGACGACTTTTATCACTATCGCGATCGCGCTCTCGGCCGCGAATCTACGTTTAGCCTAACACTAGCTACTTAATAATAAGGGATATAGGCAATTTCGTACCCATATTGCGTCCCGCCGTGAGTAAATCCGAAATAATTGTTCTGAGCCATCCTTCCTCGCAGAGAATCCCGGAAAGAAGGACAATGGAGGAAGTTGTAGGGCGTGCCACAAGCGACTCGATAATATGGCGACGCCGTCGAGAGCGCCGATTGGCTATCCCGTCACGAGCGAGACGATCTCACTGGTCGTTTCCGCGAGAGCCCGAACGCGCGCGGCGATTCTACGCGCCGACTAGAGCGCCCCGGCAGCTGAACACATGCGCGCGAATACAACAACGCGCCTGCGCACAACGACTGGCGTCGCGCTACCTGCCGCCGTCGCTGCCGCTGTACGAATTATCTATCGCGCGAGGTAAGTTTGACAGAGAGCAAGAACGAGAGAAAAACGCGCGAAAAAAAAAACGATCGCGTTGAATGGGCACACGTGGTTAATCGAGCCTCACAAAACTTACTGCGCTTATCTCGGCTATTCTCCGGGACGCCGGGGGGTAGTAGAATGTGTAGATACGTCGCACGCCGATATGTCGCGACTCGGTTGCGAGTCACGACGCAACGCATGTACGTACATACGTCCGGCGTGCGCGTGGGTGGACTTATCGTACACCGCCGAGGGAACGTGCGTGCGACATGCGTGTTGTACTCGTTGTTTGTTCGTTCGTCGTGTTCAGGTGCGTGGCTCCAGGCCGAACGCCGAAGGAGCAGCACCGGAACCTCCTCCTCCAACGCCCTCTGTCGGTCGATTGTCACCTGTGACTCTTTCAGCCGAGGATAAAGTTATATACGAGAGGGCTAAGTTTTCATCCTCCTCAGCGCCATCTAGCGGCCTTTACCGGTACCCGATCGTCCTATAATGTATCAAATTTCGGTAATCAACAGTATTTTATAACGTCTCGATCAGTTGAACATATACCGCTGTTACGTACGCTTTATTTATCTCGGTGCGCAGTTCGCGATATTAATAATACACGAGAGTCGATTTCTCCGACCAAAATATATTTGGCCAAGTGCCATCGCGTTCGCGGATGGCATCGCGTCTAATCTCGTCTTCTCATGCGACCGAATAGTAACTATAATTATGACCGGTTAAAAATTCAATTTGTAGCTCTTGGCATGCTGCATATTCAAGCAGGAAATCTCGTGACGTCAAGCAAAATGCATCTAGCGATTCTCTTTCTGTTGCTGAATTGTCTAGCGGCGCCGGCTGCAACGGGAAATGTCGTGCTGATTATTACCGACGATCAGGACTCGACTTTAGATGGCATGGTAGAGCGTTCTGAACTTTGTTACATATATATAATAATATAAACTCGTTCTAATTTTGTACTTAATTACTGTTATTATCGCGCCGTAATTGTTTTAATGACGCTGCGCTGCAAGAGAAGAAAAAATTACGGAATAATATTCAAATAAAATAACAATCAAGATCACTTCGGAGGCACCTCTCTTTACTTAATTTTAAATTTTCAGACGCCGATGGTAAATACTCTGAATCTCATAGCATCTCAGGGTGTCACGTTCACGAATTGCGTAAGTCTCTCAATATAAATGTTATAGAGAAGATTATATATTTTTTCTTCGAGATGTTTAAATAACAGGGTATCGGGTATCGGGTTCAGTTTGTAGCTTCGCCTATCTGTTGCCCGAATCGAGCGTCCATTCTGACCGGACGGTATCAGCATAATCATCTGACAGTGAATAATTCAATCGCCGGTGGTTGTAGTAGCGCGGAATGGCAGAAATTCCAAGAACCGGCGACGTTTGCCGCTCTTTTGCAAAATGTCGCCGGATACAGGACGTTTTACGCCGGAAAATATTTGAACGAGGTAGATACAATTTACGACTATATATATGCTAATCGATATTCAAAAAGATATTTTTATTTCTAAAATCGATAGCGAACGATAATAAAATTAAAAGAACTACGAAATTCTTGAAATTGAGAAACGAAATGTTCGATATTAAAAATATTTTCGGGTTTATAGTTCTTTTTCGACATTTCCCTATTTTTATTATTTTAATTCTCTTAATTCGATTGCAAAGAGTGTGACCCTTAAAATTAATAATATTAACGCATATATACGATATAAATGCAGTATGGAAACAAAAAAGTTGGCGGTGCAGCTCACGTACCGGTGGGATGGGATTGGTGGGCCGGTCTTATAGGAAATTCCAAATATTACAATTATTCATTGTCGATAAATGGTACCGAGATGAAGTACGGTGATAGTACGAGCGATTATCTTACAGATGTAATCGTGAGTATATATGTAGGACATTTAACATAGTATACATAAGGGTATACAATTTTTTTTATTTTTTATCGTAACAATTTTTGGAACGACAACCGTCCCACATTAAATTTGGCTTTAATAAAAAAAGAAAAATTGAAATTTTATTAAATTCTAAACTTGATAGAAAAATTAAAGCCTTATTAAATTCTAAATTTGATAGAATAATTAAAGTTACAATTTTA